ATTACATTTATATTGGACCCTAAAATTTTCATATAATTATATAGGAAAAGACCATAGTCCCGTCATCTAATGGTTCTGTGAGGGATTTTAGCTTTTAGAAATGTATTCAAGTTAGTTATTATAGATAATCTATGGCGAAAATCCCTCACAGAACTATTCCATGACGGGACTGCAGCCTTTTCTAATTATATAATACAATCTTGTCTAATGTTTTTATGAAAACCAAATGTCCAATTCTGATTTTGTAGAAGTGGAATGTCATGAACTCATGATTTCTCTTTCTAGGTATGTTAATAGTGTTAGTCTTGATATTGATGTTAATTTATTAATAATTTTGGTAAAATGAATATTATGGTTTTTAGATTTCTCAAATATTAAAATTAAGGCCTTTTTTGTGTATAAGCCGGTCTGAATACCGTAATCTGTCTTTATATGCTTGACCTGAATTAAGCTCTATCTATATATGAATTAACCTATGTTACTTAATGACAATGTTAGTAAAGTTATTCTCCAAATAAAGACATGCGATTTAAATTCATTCTGATTTAGCACTTCTAGAGTTACAAGACTGCAATATATAATCAGGAAAAAGAAACTCAATAAAATATAAAATGAAAGCGGGTCGGTATTTCATATTTTTATAACAAAAATATATACTCATGTTATGAAATCACTGCAAATCAATATCTTGAACCGAATAAAAAATGGGGATGATTCGGTTAGGTGATTTTTATTTTCGGTTCGATTAGGTACTCAGGACTATTGGAACGACTTGGTTTGATTCAGTTCGGAGCTCTGAAAAATTCTTTACCATATTAAAGATTTTATTTAAAATTAACTTTTGAAGTAACTCAAAATTTCAGTTAAGACTAAATTTTAACTGAAATTTGTGCAACTGACAATAGAAAATTGAAATTCAAACAAAATTTAATATATATTTTGTTTAAAAAAATTCCTTAACCTTTCGTACCATATTATTTATAATATAGAATAAGATTAAGAATAATATCATCAAATTTTAGTGAAGTTTAAATATTTTTAATATTTCTTTATCCTTACATATAATTTTATATAATTTTTTTAAACATAATACAATTCCAATTGTAAATCAAGTATTATTGAGCATAAAATTTAAGTGAAATTTAATCGTTATAACTAAATGTTATTTAGTATTTCAAGCTATATAGGATAAAAAAATTGATAAAATATATGAACAACAAACATCTAATATTACAATTCAATTGTTAATTTCGATTCTTTTGTTCAGTACAATATAAGAATTTTTTATTCGATTCTCGGTATGAATATTTATTAAATCTTAAAAACCGTATTATTTTTACAAATAAAGAAAATCAAATAATCAACGTTTCTTTTTACGTTTGAAGAAATTTCATTTTTTGGGTCCATAATTCTTCGAATGTCATGCTTAGCCCTGCTAACACTTAAATCTTACAACTTTTATTAATGGAATATAGAAGAACTTACAAGAATTTTCAAAGCGCGAGCCGTCGGAGCACCGCGGTATGAGAGGCAGCACCACCATGGTGGTGGCGGTGTCACCGTACCCACTTTTTTCTCTACAATCATCACTGTGGGAACCACACACAAACCCACAGTTGAGAATAAAATAAAATAATAACAATAATAGAATTGAATATCTACCAAAAATGTCAATCATCACTCTCTTAATCCCACACTAGACACCTTTTTACATCACAGTACCACACTTTTTCTTTATTGTTTTCTTCATTTCATTTTGATTCTCTACTTTTCCCTCTCAATCATTCCTCACTCTCTCTCTCTCTCTCACACACAAAACACAGACAGAGACACGCACAATTAGCTTTTCAGCTTCCATCATCATACGATCCAGTTTACGTTTGAAATTGTGCCGTTGGAGCTTTTGCCTGTTCGCCGGAGCAATTTATCGACCTTTTTTTCGTTCAATTTCTCAGAGAGGAGTTTATTACAGTTTTTGGGAGATGATGGATAACAGATTAGTTACGCAGTCCGATTACGAATTCGAGGATCTCGAGTCGCGCCGTTTTGACGACGGCTACAGCCAGAGCGCCGACGTCAGCGAGTCCGAGAGCTCCACCTCGAGTGGCGCCACCTTCTCCTCCCACCGCAGGCTGGAGTCAGCCGGCACGGCGTCTTCCCCGTTGGGTATAGCATCCAGCTCCGACAGCTTGCCGCCGCCGCCGATTATGCTGCCGGTTGTTGCGGGCAGACACGTCGTCTTCCCGGGAGAGAAGCTGGACCGAGATATGCCCGAGCCGCCTGAGCTGACCGGTGAGTTTCTCGTCTTCAATTTCCGACTGCGCAACAAGCGTTACTTTCGACTTTTGGTGTGATTGAATTGATTTCGACGTTTATCTTATAGCGTTTTGTAATCAGTTAGTTGTCAATTGGTGGTCGTGCACTGTTAATTAACTATAATTAAGTAAATTATTTACACGGAAAAGGAAATTCACCTGAAAAATCTAGCAGTATGATTCCACAAATGCTGAAGACATCAATAGGCTATGACTGAAACAATTCTTCTTTCGTATGTTCTATTTACTTGTGACCACCTTTCATCGCTCATTAGTTGGTTCGTTGAGTTGAAGGAACCATTGGACTCTGGGATACTTAAGTAGAATGGTCTCTTTTCTGTTCTCCAGAAACAGAGAACAAGAATTCATCAATGTTTATATCTGATTTATTCTTTCTGACGAGGTTATGGCTTGTGTGCCTGTGCAGAAGCTGAAATGATGAAAGAACGATTTGCGAAATTACTGCTGGGAGAGGACATGTCCGGTGGAGGCAAGGGAGTAAGCACTGCACTCGCAATCTCCAACGCGATCACCAATCTTGCAGGTACTTATAATATCACAATACACTAACATGTGTACGAACTTTTCATTCCTCAAGTTGTATGTAATTCTTGCTTATGTCATCCACTTCAGCCAGCGTCTTTGGAGACCTCTGGAAGCTGGAGCCGTTATCCCCACCGAAAAGATCCATGTGGCATCGTGAGATGGAGTGGCTCCTGTGCGTGAGCGACTCCATAGTCGAGCTCGTTCCATCTGTGCAAGACTTCCGAGGCGGCTCGAGCTTTGAGATCATGGTGACCCGGCAGAGATCAGACCTGTACACGAATCTCCCGGCTCTCAAGAAACTCGACGGGATGCTGATGAGCATCTTGGAAGGGTTCCGGGACTCTGAGTTTTATTATGTCGACCGAAGCGTAGTCGTTTCCAGTGGGGACCATGCCGAGGCATATCTTCCGTGTTCGCCGTCTTCAGCAGGGCGGCCTTCAGCGGCCCTGGAGGAGAAGTGGTGGTTGCCGTTCCCGAAGGTCCCAGCAAGAGGCTTGTCGGAGAAGACAAGAAAGCATCTGCGGCAGTGCAGGGAGTGCACGCAACAGATTTTCAAGGCGGCAGTGACCATCAACAACGGGGTGCTCTCGGAGATGGAGGTGCCACAGGTTTACTTAGACAGCTTGCCCAAGGTATGAGAATTTTGTGATGATGAATCCAGTTGTTAAAAGGGGCTTTAACATTTTTGTGCTGTCAATTGCAATTATATCCTTAAGTTTGAATTCCGTGTAATTTTGATCCCATCTTACGGAGTGGCTATTTTATTTGTGTCCTTTTTAAGTCCCAAAATGCCGTTAAATACCAATCCATCAAACACGCATATGAGACTTGGGACTGAAAATGCCATCTTGAGCACCGGACAAAATTGTCAAGGACCAAAACCGCCATGGACTAAAACTGGCCAACCCCAAATACTATGGGACTGATTACGATTGTGCAAAATCATTTATATGTATCCTGTTTCTCGTGTATTTCTTTTTTTCATGCACAGCTGTTTTTTTATATCCTCAAGTATTGTTTGTTTTTCCAGAGTGAGAAGGCTTGTTTAGGTGATGTCCTTCATCGCTACATAACTGCTGATCAGTTCTCCCCTGACTGTCTTCTCGATTACCTGGACCTGTCGTCCGAATACAGTACTTTGGAAATAACAAATAGGATCGAAAGTGCCCTGCACTTCTGGAGATCAAAATATAAAAAGAAGAAACCGTGTCACTCGAGATCGGCTTCATTTTGGGAAACCACTGTGAAGGGCTTTGTTAGCGATTCTGAAAAGAGTAAACTCTATGCAAATCGAGCTGAAACCCTCCTGAAGAACTTAAAGTTGCACTTTCCTGGCCTTCCTCAGACCTCTCTGGATATGAACAAGATTCAGTATAACAAGGTACATTAGCTTCACTTATTTGCATATTTTCTAGGCTATTACAAAAACTATTTACCAAAAGCTCCCATTCTGCCAATATTTAAAATATCCCTCTGAGGTCTGTACTTTCCATCAGGGGCAATTAGTAAAAGAGAAACCAATGTCAGTCGGGTGGTACCTGTAATTTCTGTAGACATTCTCTTTTATGTTCTGTAATAATGAATTTGACAGGCCCAGTGTTGGGGCTGGGCCAGATTGCAAATTCGTTGTCCCAAAGTAGACGGTTGATCAGAAAAGTTGCGGGCCCTTCGACCCTTCCAATAAAAAAAAGCTTTAACTAATTCATCATATATATCCTGCTAATATATTTTTTTTTTAACCTTTGGCCTAATCCATAAAACCTCAGGATGTGGGGCAGTCGATCCTCGAGAGCTACTCAAGGGTTCTTGAGAGCTTAGCTTTCAACTTAACTGCAAGAATCGACGATCTTCTATACGTAGACGATGCAACCAAGCAACGGGCAATGGCGGAGTCCATCTCGTCCATGCTCAGCAACCACCAGATAAGGAGATCAACAACGAGCCTTCATGATCCGCGCAATCTATGTCTTCCTGGCTCGCCATCTAGCCAGAGCTCGTACTCGTCCTCATCACCACCGCCTTCCCCTTTCCGTTGCTTGGTCCCAGTTACTCAACGGCCTAAGAGGCTATGCCGTTCGGTGAGCCAGTCTGCCTCTTGTGCCCCGCTGGATGTAGAACTGGAAAATCTTGCATTGAGATGATTTAGGGCAAAATGAAATTATATTTAGATCTCATGTTGATTTATTTAATGAAATCACGGTAGAAGAAAAGCTCTGACTAATGAGTTACTACTGGTTGAGTTAGGTTTCTATAATTAGGCCCTGAGATATTGAAAATCCTGTTGTACCCGGCTCGATTCCGGATTAGTCGGTTCCCCTGTGGATCCGGAAACCGGAAGGTCCCTGTACCAAAAAAAAAATCCTGTTGTAGCCGTTTGATCTAAGCTAATCCAATTATGGTGAGGTGGTTATAAGCTTGAGTTCCCTTATGCATATTTCTTTCTTCTTTTGATATATATGTGATTTGAAAATCTTGTGCAAATTATATGATTTGTTTGCTCATTAGTTTATTGACAAAAACGTTCCCAAAAAAATCAGTACTTTTTTTTTTTTTAATCCCAATAAAGAAGCAGTAGCAGCCAGACTTGGCCAATAAACTAGTTTCATGGGCATCAACTTCTGATTAGAAATGTGCATTATAGGACCGTCAATTTTTATTTTACTAAACGTGTATTTTCTTATGAACAAAAGCATGATAAAAGTATTAGGCTATCTTGAGCCCTCTGCTTTATTATAAAGTAGAGTTAGCAACAATTCAAGTTCATTTTTAGTCATTCGTGATA